TGCTGGCATTCGTTCGTTTAGCGAAACCAGTCGCTGTATGCAGACAAACGTCAACGGATTCTCCCGAGTTGAACAAACATATTTTCTTGTTTGTGAAAACTCATCAATCAGAACCGCTGCGAGGTACGATTTGCATGGGTTACGTGGAATCTGCGTTCCTGCTTGCCTGGCAGGTGGACAAACGAAATGAGATTTTCTTGTAAAGTAATGAGACGTTCTTGGAATTTGCTACAAAATGGTCTGACTTTGGGTGTTGTTTCAAAACAATAGGAAATTTGTTTATGCCTATGTGCGATACTGATACCTCTTTTGGCCCCAACGCGGGAAGTGTAACGAAACCGAAAATTTCCGCTTATTTCCCTATTCAACACATGATCTCCACACAGTCTGGAACAGTCCCGGGGAACGAACAGCAAAACTTCCAGCACCCTCGGATTAGGCCGTAAATCTGTTAATAACGAGCAACATTTTAATTTATTTCCAAAAGTTTCCCATTCAAGTGGCAACTTTCTTAACCCTTGGCCTTCGGAGCTGTGCTTCGGTCTCGCCCACCACCGCTCATGCTGATATTTTCCCTTCTGAGCAGTTCCGCGCCAAATGACGAATGGATTAGACTCGACCTTCTTTGATTTGCATGACACTTTGCACAAAATTCACATTTGTGCTAAAATTCGGCCATTTTGATTTTTTTCTTACAAAATGGCGTGTTTGAAAGTTTTCGACAAATCGTAGGACGAAATCACGCTTCCAAGTTAGGTTACAAGATTACAACTCTGGAGAGCATTATGTGTGGTTCTGAATATGGCGATGAGTGTGCAAAATGTTATGCAATTGTGTCCTCCCTATTCGCACTCGCCCAGATCGCAGGCGAATGCCACTTCGACTTGTTTCGTCTACTAACGATTCTCTGATGACTGTGTTGGGGAAGCGGAAACGTCATTGATGGATTTGTTAGTAATTTCGACGCTTTTAGACAATGCTTGACATTTACCACTTTTCCATAGTTTCTTCATCTTCATTCTTTCATCAACAGTCGGCGGCAGTGTTATAGATGCGTAGAAATATTTCTGATCGATTGGTGATAAAATTATTGAAATTGGTCCAATGACAGCTGAGTTATTAACGTTCAAAATCTTTCATAATTTCATTACATGTTCCATTTATGGTTTTCACAAAGAATCACAGAAATCACAGACTTAGTCACGTCAAAAAAATATATATATATATATATTAAACAAGAGCATTTTTTGCAATTTAAATTTGTAGCATTTATTTGGATTTTTTATCAGAATATAAAATAAAAAGTTACCGTGTATATCTTAACTGCAAAAACTATTTATTTTCCTACAACATTGTCCCAGACATCATTTTGATTAGAAGTAAAGTTTTCGTGCTACGATTTATTGAAAAATGTCGAATTCACCATTTTGAAAAAAAAACATCCATGATTCAAAATAATCGAATTAAGCACAAATGAGAATGATTACCCACAAAAAACAAATATGCAAAGTTTAATGCAAATCGATGAAGGTCGAGTCAAAAATTCCATTTTCTTTTTCGCTATTTGGCCTGGAACGGCTCTTTTGTGGTTTTCCGTTGAACCATGGCTGGGTTGCAAACTTTCCACGTTTCCACAGTGCAGCCAGCCCATCATAGCCCATTTCCTGCGCACCTAATGGATTTTGTTTCCCCTTATTTATATTCCAAACCTGTTAGTCTTCTGCCAGTGCGAAGTCTCGAAGCGAACGGAAACAGCAACTCTCTTTGAGTGGGTGGTTTCGAGAAGCGTGTAAATTGGCGAGTAAGAGCGACAGCTCATTCCGGATTCCTCAAGCCAAGCCGTAATCAATTTTGTAATGGATCAAAGAGTAGTCATTACTTTTGCACTTAGTAGTAGGGTTAAAGGCTAATTTTGGTCATACTGAGTAGAACCCGCACTTGACCTGCCTTTATCGGACGGGTTTGATAACAAAATAATTTTTTATATCACAGATGAGTTTCAAAATTTATTGACTTATCCAATTCCGTGAAAAGTCGTTTAACTCACTTCGGCACACGGATGAAGGCAGAATAAATGAACTCACGTTGCATTTTTTTTATAATAATGGATGTAAATATTCATAGCAGGCGTTTTACTTGTAGCTTTTGAACTAAACGTTCGTACTAAACGTATGATTGATTCGTTCATGCCAAAATCATTGATGTACAGTGCCTTCCCTTTTTTTTCAGCACGGGATTTTCAAAAATCCATCCAACGCTAAATTCATTAATTAATTTTGTTTGCCGAATCTCGGCAATACTTGCCGATCCTGACCGTATGGAAAGCTTTCGTCTTTTAAAAGTTTTTGAAGTGAGTGAGTCTTATCAGAAAGCGGATAACTTAGTTAAACAATGCTTCACTATATAAACAGAGAGAGAGACTTCCTTAATTACTTATCCTTGACAGATACGCGTATTTCGTATACAATGTGCAGACTTCTTCAGTGCCTTGTACTAATCAGGGATCTACATTGAAGCTCTAAAATGAACTCGTGTTTTATTTCTCTCATACATACGTGTTCGACGCTTCCTTTCTATAACGCCTAGCTAGACTATCAGCAAGAAACGAAATAAAAAAGCAGGACGCTTAGAAGGAAAGGCTGGCTGTGGAACTTCTCGTCGTTGCTTTGCTCATCGCTTTCAATGTAACTAACGTCGATTTCCTAGTTAAACGAACCTCATTATGGCTTTCAATCCCCTTTCACGAACACTCTATCACCGCTCTTTCAATTTGTTTAAAATGCATTATGTCCCGTTGTTGATCATTTTTTTTTAGATAAATATATGGATGGAAGATAAATTACGTGTTATCTTCACGTGTTTTCACGTGAGAAATGCTTTAAATGTGTTATTTCATTTTCCGTCATATACGTCATGAAACATCTGTTGTGTTTCATGAACGAGAAAACTATCAAAGTCGAGCGCTCTTTCGCTGATCCGTTTCACCGAAGCTTGAAAGGAAGACCAATGGAGCGACGGGAGAAAGAGAGACAAGCGATTGAACATTTGTTTGTGCACGCCGACTGAGGTTCAAGAATGCTGCGAAGCTGTTCGACTTTAACAGAAAAACAAAGCCAGCAGTCTCTTCGTCGCATAGATTTGGTCGATTGAAGCTGATATTGTGACGCCCTGGTACTAATACTAGGTACTCCGCTGCTTACTCGTTGATGTGTCCTAGGTAGTAACTTGGAAAGCCATGTGTGTCCGTTTCCTTGATTCCTGTTGAGTAAAGTTTAATTGGGCCTTTAGTGGATCCTAACAATGATTTCAACTGATTATGTCTACTGGTGAAATCTAAATCTAATCAAAATTGTTTTAACTGTGGTCTTAGCTTACAAGTAATATCTTGATCAAATGAAACGGACACTCGTTTCAAGGGTTCAGGTGAGGGTTGTAAATAATCTCCTTTGTAGAATTATCGCCTTTTTTCGATGATTGCCTGGATTGTGGTCCGTTGAGTCTCGCTGTTTCGAAGATGTACTGTAATTTCTTAACCTTTCCTATATCGCTGAGTGGAAGAGTCTGCATCCGATGAATCATGAGGTGGAAGGCGGCCATTTTCTGCTGGAAGTATATGGTTGGAATGGTTGGAAGCAGGTTTACTTCCACTCACTTGCTATAAAAAAATATTTTTCGGAATAATGAAATCATGAGATGGTATAATGATAATTAGTACTTGTAAGTTACAAAAAGAGATCGTGAAGTATGTGTTAGACACATAAAATCTGTCAGTATTGCTTTCAGAGAGTCACAATCAACGATTTTACGACTCGTGAGCGCTCACTCTGAGTGAACGCTCGCGAATCTTAAGATCGCTGATTGTGACGCTCTGAAAGCAAAATTGACAGGTTTTATGTGTCTAACACATACTTCACGATCTCTTTTTGTAACTTACAAGTACTAATTATCATTATACCATCTCATGATTGCATAATTCGGAAAAATATTTTTTATAGCAAGTGAGTGGAAGCAACCCTGGTTGGAAGTATAGGAGATAACTCTTTTGGTGCTTGTTGGTTTCCTGTAAATTTCGTATTCAAGCGAAGAAGATGATGACACGATTCCCTGATGACTAGAAAATCGAGAAATGCGAGTTTCCCGCCTTTTTCTACCTCTTGAGTATACATGATATCCTTGTGAATTCTGTTGATTTCATCTAAAATTTGTGGAAGGGCTTCCTGTTTAACTTCGCTGAAGATATCGTCAACAAACCAACGCACAGTGGTCTGAAAGTGCCAAAACGTGCGTTTTTTAGTTTATGCAAAAACGGTCCATTTAAGCCATATAGTGTCTTCGGAAAAGTTTTTGCACTTAAAAACCCCTTCTTTTGAGCTTAGCCATCTCATCATTAATCCTCCTAGCAGGGAGATGAAAAATTTACTTTTTTTTTGTTTTTCGAGATAGCGACACCATTTCGTGGACAAAGTTGACAAACATTTTGCTGAAGATGTCAACCCTCTATCTCTAATGTTTCTAAAGATCTGTAATTTTTTTGGGAAGAGCCTTCAGAAAATCATTTTTTTGCAAATAAATTTTCAGGAATTAATTTTTTGACATTAGTATGTTCTACACAAATGTTTGATTTTTAAAAATACGCCATTTTGTCTTGGGAAGCAAGTCCCTATCTTCAATATTTCTTAAGATATTCAAGGTTTTCATCCAAAATAAGCATTATTTCCAAGGTCAGTGTCGTGTCCGGGCCGTCCAGGCTGACCAGGTCTGGAGCCGGACCTTGGGCCAATTTTACCCTTGAGAACGCTCCTCTTCGACATCTCAACCGCCCGTGTATAGATTCGTCGGAAAACTGACTGGAAACTGCAGTGTACTTCATATACCCTCCTTTTTCTTATTGTTCTTCAGTTGATCAATTCATACACTGGACAAAACCGAGATTTGTTTTATATTTATTTATCAACAGCTTACTTGCTCTTACTTCCTACATCTCCTCTAACCCCTACTCTTTATTCAAAGATTCTGTACAGCACCATATCCTTAAATTTACTGGGCTTACCAACTGACCGCTTCGGTCGAATCGCTGGTTGTGCGCTGTTGTCTGGTACATCCCGCGTCGTGATTTCTGGCTTAACATCGGAATCTTGTGACTCGTGAAGCAGATGCTCGTTCACTGCAGATTCATCTAGCTGCTTGAAATCGTCACAGATTGTTGAGGCAAGCTTTACGTCCTGAACATTCCTGGAGTACTGGACACCACGACCACTTCTGACTACAATTTTTGCTCCATCCCTTGCCATTATGGTGTATCTCTCAGCCGAAAAAGTTGGATCAGATTTCAATCGTTTCTGTTGGGTAATCAGCACTTTGTCTCCCACTGATATATCCGACTCTTTAGCACCTCGGCGTGAGTCAGCATATTTTTTGCTATTTAGTTTTGATAGAGCATCTTTCTCCCTTATTTCTTCTCGATCCAAGTCTGAACTTGCGATGGGATCGCAGAGGCAGGGGAATGTTCCCCGGAACTTCCACCCAACCAGTAATTCGAATGGTGTTACACCCAAACGAGACAAAGGTCTTACTTTATTATGAACTTGTATATATTTATCCAATGCCACTTTCCAATGCACTTTATCAAGCTTTGCGGCAGCTAGAGTCTCCTTTATCCCTTTATTTTGCCGTTCGACGGCACCGTTTGACCGTTTTATATTTATTTATCAACAGCTTACTTGCTCTTACTTCCTACAGTCAGTAGCTCGAAGTTGGGCAAAATTAGGCAAACCAGGTTGATTACATTTGAAAGTATACTTAAAATGCTGCACATTACATACCAAATCATTAGTCTTCTTTAGTATTCTCTGCTAATCTGCTTATTACCAAACTATAGGGTCACGACTTCCCATATAATTGTCTTACTGTTGTTTTTTTTATGAACAAAATTACTACCTTAAATTATTACTACCTATATCTCAATATAGTTACATTTCATCAACCGTTTCATACAATATCAAAGAAAAAAATATTCATCGCTACCCATTTCCTCGTCACTTTCAGAATTGTCGCTTACTTCTGTTTCACCATCGGTTCATGCATCGGTAGATTGAACTAGAAGAGTTTGAGCATCTTCGGACAAAAGCAGTTTTGCTTGTTTTGAAGGGGTCTTATTGTTGAAATAAACGGGTCAGATGATTCGTGGACCAATGTTCGTTCAGTTAACCGGTTACTACAACAAACACCGAGAATCACATTCCGAAGGAACAAGGACAACTGTTCCTTCAATCAATCGGTCACTACTACCGACACTGTGAATCACCTGCCGGGGGAAACAGAGACCAATCGTAGTTCAGTCATTTTTTAACACTACAAAAGACACTGGGACTCACCTGCCACGAGAAACAAAAACCACTGTTTATTTAGTCAACCAATCACTACAAAAGACACTACAAATCACCTTCTTGATTTCAAAAGAGATGATTTAGGATTTCTATTAAACTTGGCATGAATGAAATTCCTGGAACCAGCAAAATGGTAGCAACCAAGCTTCTAATCCTGAAGCAACTGGACCGACCGACAGTGCCCATTTCTCGCAGCGAAGTTCGCTGCCTTTCCAACCACCGGGTCAACCCGTGTCCAGCAGTAGCCGTAAATAGAAGTATTTATGGTGATCATATCATATGGTTGACACAAAACTGCAGGACTGCCTATTCTTTGCTGCATACAGCATAAATATTTACGTTTTTCGACAAAACTCAGGTAATCATAACAGATTCTTATTTTTATTTAATCATCAAGTAACCATAGGTAAACTTTGAGGTAAACCTCAATGACATTTTCAAAAATCTCTCAAGAATTTTTCATTTCAACGGCGCCGGTGGTGTAGTGGTAAGCGTGATTGCCTCTCACCCCAGCAGGCCTGGGTTCAATCCCAGTCGGCACCGCCGGGATGTTCTGAGGCATAACATCTCTGATCACGAAGGGAAGTAAAGCTGTTGGTTCGTGAATTGATGAGTCGATAGGTAGGGTCCAGGTGTGGGAGCTGCCTTCCTGGCGCGTCGGTAGCATTGGTGCTCAGTACGGAAAACAAACCAAAGAAAAAAAAAATCATTTTCGCTCATCTAGTCACATAACCAACAAAGCAACTACCCCTGTGTTGAAGTAGAACCATCGATCAGCAAAAGCAACCAGCAAAACGGTAGCGACGAAGCTTTTAATCCTGAAGCAACCGGGCCGAGAATCTTCTGAGTGCCCATTTATCGTAGTGAAATTTAGGTATCCTTCGCTGCGCCTTTCGCACCACCGGGACAACCCGTGTCCAGCAGTAGCCGGGCTGAGACTCTTCCAAGAGCCCATTCGTCGTTGAGGTATCCTTCACTGCGACCTTTCAACCAGTTGCAGCCACCTAGTCAACCCGTGTCCAGCAGCAGCCGCGCCAAGACCCTTCCGATTGCCCATTAAGCGTCATCATCATCTTCCAAAGGCTTTAAGTCTGTACTTGTCTGAATTAGTGCGGAACTTTTCAAGTAAAGCATTTGAATTAACCCAAAGTTCTGCACTAACACTTGTGCAATTCACAAACGTCAGAGAAGTCTATTGACTTCGTGTCTGATTCATAATCATCCAATCGGGGGTCTAACCATGTTCTTTATAATAACACTCATCCTCCAAGCTAACAATAGAAAGGAAGTTAAGCTTCGTTCCGTCCGGAGGAAATGAGAATGTGACAAGTAAAAAGCGATGGAGAAAAAAAAATTCCCTTATCCGAAGAAAATGTGAGGCAACCAGCCGGGCAGGGCAGCACCTTCAACGGAAAATTCTTAAATAATTTCATATTGATAAATTCAACACTTCTCATGAGCTGCTGCTGTTGCTACTGCTGTGCTGCTTTGCCGCTGGAGTTTGGTTTTGTTGCCATTCTATTCTCACCGCGGGTAGCTCCTTGTCACACCAGTGTGGTGGTGCCTCGTCGTCGTTGTCGTGTTCTTCCTGTTCTGTTCTTCTCAATTTCCTCTCGAAAGGATTGCTGTCGCCTTTGAAGCCTTTGACTCGTTATGATGGTAGGAAGGTAACTGGTAGATACCTGGTTGGCGTTAGACCAGGACCAAGTGAAAATTCCGAGCGGAGAATAAGCGATTTTCTTTAAAGTATGTACAACTACGCTGGTTGAATACCAATTTTCCGAACAATGACGAGTGGCGTGTGTGTGTGTGTGTGTGTGTTCGGCTGAGGGAAATAGGTAGTGATGATGATGATGATGGTGATTCTGATGGTACGTGCCAGGAGGGGTCGGATGCTATTACTTGATAGTTCCCGAGAGGGTTTAGCTGTACGACACGTGTGGCGGTTGTAAGCTTTGAGTATCTAATAGGTTTATTATCTGTTCTTGAAATTGGATGGTTTTTCTTTTCAATGCATTAGCTTCTTTCAGGTATGATGTGTAGGTGAGACAATTTTCGAAGAGGTTATTCTCTAATACAAGACAAACATTCGGCTTCTGGCAAAGTAACATCTCCTCAGCTTTATACACCCGTGGAATGTTCTCCATCCCTAATTTAAAATACAAACCATCAAAGGTACAACAAAGATTATGCACAACAAAGACCTTTCTCAATGTTTCCATTAGAACACTCCGGAGCCTAAAGGAATTTTTCTTCAACTTATCCCCATCCATCCATCCCTTCGCAAACAAAAAAAAACCCTCACAACAAGCAAGGAACGCTTAATTCATGCAGTTATGCTAAAAATTCCCTCGTCCCGTGTAAGAAAGGCGTCTAAATTTATAGTATAATTAGAGGAATAAAGCTGTTCAGCAATATGCTACGATGCTGGCTGGTACTTCCACTGCCGGGCTACAACCGTATTTCCCTATAACGAACGGGTACTTTACCTCTACTCCAATCCTTTCGCACAGAAGTGGGTGAGAACCGGAAGCTTTGTACGAATAAATATTGAGTTTTTTTTCCTGCCTGCCTGTCTCCACCTTCGAACACACCTTCCTTCCAAGGCATTTTCGACTCCCAGGCATACACTAAGACCTAATGCGACCTTTCCCTATCTCGATCCTACCCCACCACCACACACCACCGAAGGGATTTGATAATTTGTTGAAGAAGACTCCCGTATCCTGTCCAAACCCCCCCAATCCCCACCCCCTTCTAAGTCGACACAGGTAGGGATTTTACCGGAACGAAAAAGTTCACCGGGTCGAAACTCCGTATCCCCCTGCCATTTTCCCATCATGATGAGCCAGCTTAGTCTATACTTATGCCACCCTCCCCCCTCGGCACGGCCTGGCGAAACACATACACACGTCCTCCCATCGGGAAAGGAAAAGGGATGTCTGAAAAGTTTGCTTCAAAAGAAACGATCCGGAAGGCGGTCGGAACAGTTCCTCTCCTGATGGGATGGTGGGCGGGGAAATGACAGCCGAGGGAGGGTAGAAATTGCTTCATGGCATTTCATTAAATTAAATGTAATTATAGCGATAATGAATGTAACATACAGTGGTGATGCCTTTCGCTTCTGGGGTCGACCGGTTGGAGAAAGTGTGGGAACTTTCGGCAGTTTCGCCGTTTTCCAAGGGAGGGAAAGTTGATGAAACCATTTCTGCGATGGGCTTCGGAGGCCGGAGGGCAGGTTCTAAGAATTGCTGGCAAGGGCGAAAGTCTACGAGTCGAACATGACCGGAAGGGGGAAACGTTTTTGGCACGTTTGTGAGATTTTTTACGAACTGATGACACGATTGAAACAATGGAAATGTGCCACCGAAGGGCGGGCGCAGGAGGAGGGGACCAGCACAATGCATTTGCTGGAAGTTAATTATCAATGCCATAAATGGTTTAAACTGATTGTTGCTGACTAATCTGGCCTCGGGTGACTTGATAGTGGTAATGTAGTAATTTGGTTCTGTTTATTGCAGTTGGAAAAGATCGTAATTGAATTTCGATGATAGTGGTTGTGTCTGATGGGAATCAATGGTGCGATTGTGACTATGGGAATAAGAGTATCATATACCTGTCAACGTCACATTTGATACATGTAGGAATGTACTTTCGTGGGTAGCTGCAATTCGCTATGGCTCTATGCCGAATGAAGGATTCTTCTTCATTGGACTCGATCCTGAATCAATGTCGTCATGTGACCTTTATATCCTAACATTAAAAACATTAAAAAGAACGAGGTCTTCCCAGGATAAGATGACCTCTTTCAAGTTTGATGGAAGTTTTGGGTCGTAGTCGGGTGTAAAGCAAAAATCATGAAACTCAAACTCACCACGGTTTGGTTAGAAGTGTAACTGCTGAGTTTTGTTAGTTTGATATTCGTAGCTTCAATATCACAGATTGTAATATCGGTTCCAGGTTATTTGGCCAAATTCCATTTTACCAAATGGATCGTCAAGCCGCACCCGAACTCAGCTCAAGAAAAGAATGGGTAGAAAAGTGTTGACGTGACACTCGCTTTGATGGAAGCTTAGAAATCCTCTGGAA